AAAGTGCTTAAGTTGACAAGTTACAAATTAATACATAGACAAATTGATACCTAGATTAATTAATTCATAAACAAATTGATACCTAGATAAATTTAGATTAAATTTTCTGCTAAATGTACATTTATTTTTTTTTTTTTGTGTGTTTCAATATCTTGAATTTTAGAATCATGATTTAGATTCATGGATAGTCTTGAGGTTAAACAAGAACAAGATTATTTTATTCCCAGATAAGGTTCTTGAATTATTTTAACCAAATTCTATTCGAAATCACATTTGGTAAGTGTAAATAAAAAGAATTGGTACGTGTATGCTCATCTCGAATTAGATATTATTAAGCAGTTGTTGAAAAAAAAGGTCTTTGTCTTGAAATAAGGCGTTTTCAATGGCGAAGATAGTAGCTTATTTATCAGGTTATCCCATAAGTTCTGTCCGAATTTTGAATAAAGAAAAAAAGTGACCAAATGTTACATTTAATTACAGATTCAATCAACAATGTATTTTCCCTGATTATCTATGACTTCCTTCCATCTATTAACAACCTTACTAATTCCATTACTGTAAAATTCTTTTGGCTTTGATTCGAAGAACTCTCAAATGTCAGCTTTAACCTCTTCCTGTGTTACAAAAGCTGTTTCTTCCAAATGATTCTGTAAGCTACGAAACAAATGGTGGTCTGAAGGAGGAGGATCGGGAGAATAAGGTGGATGAGGAATTTTCTCTCAACCAAGTTCTTCGATTTTTGTGACGTGATTCTTGCTGTGTGGGGTCGCGCAAGGTCCTGATGAAACATTATCTCTTTTCGATTCACTAGAGCAGGTCTTTTTTTCCTCAAAGCTTGGTTCAAACGCTCTAATTGCTGACAGTATATTTGAGCATTAATTGTTGCATTAGGTGGTAAGAATTCAAAGTGGATTATTCCTTGGCGATCCCACCAGATTGAAAGAAGAACCTTTTGCCCATGAAGTTCCTTTCTCAGCTGTGGCTGGGGTCCTTCCCCTTTACCAAGCCACTGTCTACGACGCTTAACATTTTGATAAAAGATCCATTTTCGTCGCCAGTCACAAGTCTATCCAAAAAAGGTGAAACAAGTTGGCGAGGATTTTCTTCAAGGGCTGCTGCAAGAAGCTGTTCATCAAACTCAGCTGGACGTCCGGTTCGATTTTCATCTTCAAGGGTGAAATCTCCACCTCTGAATTTTGCAAACCATCTTCTGCAAGTTCTTTCATTCACACATTCCTCTCCATAAACTGAGTGAAAGTTTCTAGCCGCTTTGGCTGCTGAGTTTCCTTTCTTGAACTCATAAAGCATTATGTGCCTCAAATGATTCTTGGGTACTTCCATGTTAGCAGGGTTTTAATCAAACAAAATTTAATTTTATTGTTCTCTGAAATAAAATTTGATCAGTTTAAATGCATCTAAACATAAACATAAAGTTCAGCTCCATTAGACATTATAAAATACTCTTTAAATTTCGTTCATTTTAACAAAGTTAAAATTCGGACAGAACTTATGGGATGACCTGATATATCTATTTCAACCTGTTTTTTAAATCTATTATATATATGCTTTCCTTTTCACATTTATTTATACATTTACCGATAATTAATTAATTAATCTACCTAGTTCATTCTTCAGATCTATCTATCTATCTTTTTGAATGGAATAAATTTAACTTATAGGCAATTTGTTTAGAGAAAAACAAGTTTCACTTGTTATGAACAAAATCGGTTGTCATACGTCTGTGGATAAAATAAATACACTGGCTAATGCGGAATTAAACATTTATTTTATGCAATAAATTATTAGTTTTCAACATAATCTCCTTTCTTGACTATGAATCTAACCCAACGCTTCTCCATTCAACCTATAAATCGTATATTTTACACTAAACATTCCAGACAAAAATCTCGATAATTACTACGTTAGGCTATGAACATATTGATCCCCCCTCGTTCACATACATACATACATACATACATAATGGCTGTCGAGTATGATCATCTCTAATAATTTTTCCATCTACGCGGGTTTGGGAATTCAGAGCTTTCTTTCACTTAGGTTGGTTACTAACCAAGGCTAAAGATCCCTGTCTACCCTACTTTTCTGTCCTTTCCGGGTGTAAGAGATCATGGCTCTCCACTTTCCCTTATCCCTTGTATCTCTCAATAAATTTCGTTCCTCTGACACCTCCCCCAGACCACGTTCTGTCATCTACTTGCTTAAGCCCGTATATCATGCGTTGCTTTCCCTTGTCTCTCTTTCCTTCTATTCGACCTGTGGGCATCAGATTTTCCAGGCCCTCCTTTCTCATTACGTGTCCCAGAATCTTCTGCTGCCTCTCCCTAGTGTTAAGTATAAGCCTCCTCCTTGTTTGCATTCTCTCCAAGACCTCATCGTTGCTCACACGCTCCATGATATTCTCAGTATCCTTCTGTAGAACCACATCTCCGTCGCCTCGAGTCTCTTCTTCATCTTTGAGGAGATCGTTCAACATTCGCTGCCGTAAAGGAGGACAGATGTCAAGTAACATCTCAGTACTCCTTTCTTTGTTACTAAAGAGATTCCTCTGTCTAGCAATACTCTGCCCAGCTTTTGAAAGGCGTCCTTGACCATCCCAATACGTCTTCGGATCTCAGTGTCGCACTTGCCGTCCTCAGTCAAAACACTTCCCAGATATTTAAACTTTCGCACCTGCTTGATTTTAGTGTCCCCGACCTGTAAATCCCATTTCGGTCTCATCCTTTTATAGGTGGAGGAAAGATATTTGCACGAAAGTGAATGTAATAAACTGCTAGAATTCGAACTTGGCTCGCCGATTTCTTGTTCCGAGCCGTTAATCATCCCACCATCTGCACATTCAGTTTATATACATACATGCAAGAATCGGTTATTCTGGCCACGCAATTTAAACACCGCCTCGTCACTTAAAAACAAACATTTTTTTTTTATTGAAAATCTAAAAAAAAAAAAAAAACTATATATATTTTTACTACAGTATTCGTTATTTAATAATTTTAATGTCATATCTTTTCAGCAAGTAGGTAATCATGGCTCTCCACAGCTTCCTTTACTTTAATATGCCATGACATGACAGATGAATGAGTAGTTTCTCTTTTGCTTTTTGGTGGATTTGAATTCAAACTTGTCTTGGGTGCTTTATCAGCTAAACTAAAAATTGCTATTTAACCCATAGCTGGGAAGGAGAGAAGCGGTACGTTTATGCATTTCCTACGGCCTTAGACGATGACAGAATTTGATCACAATGTGCAGATTCCAGTTTTCGGCACGTTAACCGTTACGCTACTCACACAGTAATTTAACTTTTAATTAATGAAATTAATTTAATTAAATTAAAAAAAAATGTTTTGTTACGAAGGGAAAGGAAAGTAAATTAATGAGAATGTAGCTTGGCCAACACAAAAATTAACTGCATGCAAACGCACACACGCACACACACACACACAAAGTGTCTACATAAAGCAATATTTTTCTAGCTTGTTTCATAGACCATTGCAACAGTTTTGTTGTTGTTTTTGTTGTTGTTTTTGTTGTTGTTTTTGTTGTTGTTGCTCATCTTCTTATTATTATTGTTTTTGTTCTTCTTCTTCTTCCTCTTCTTCTTCTTCTTGTTCGTCTTGTTGTTATTATTGTTGTTGTTCTTCTTCTTCTGCTTCTTCTTATTGTTGTTGTTACTGTTCTTCTTCTTCTTCTTCTTCTTCTTCTTCTTATTATTATTATTATTATTATTATTATTATTCTCCAGACCCCACCAACCCATCTTTCTCTCAGTAGCTTCACCCACGTCCCTCTGAAAAATCTGCCGGACCCTTCAAGTTACGCATCCGCCAAATTTCTCACTTAAGTTCAAACTGCAACAAACAATCGTATTCTTTTTTTTCTTTTTAAAAATATTCCTTTTCCCCCCGCGGCTAGCATCATACCAAATTGCTTTCTTCAGTGCCCGGAAGTTCGTCGCAGAAATCCCTAAAATGTTCGAGAAACTCGATGCCGTTTTGTGAAAACTCAAGTCATTATTCTGAAAGACAGATGCTAGTGAAATGAACTTTACTGAACGGAACAGTAACTGCCTCGATGAAGGTGGACCAATCAGCGCTTGCGTGAAGTCGGAAAAAAACCTGGTTTATCAACTTCAATTCGCAAAGAGGTGAATGAGGGTGGAACAAATTGATATTTTCGAAATTAAGTTAATTAGAAATATTATAAGGTTTCGATAAGAGTGACTTTTATTTGTTCAGAGATTAACCATTATATTTTATTAATTACAAAAGGCCGCGATTTAAGAATTAAAATATAATTTTCATAATTTATTTAAAAAAAGTAAAGAAAAGTGATCTTGACCGAATTTGATTTACATATTACTATATAACACAATAAGTATGTTTATGAATTAAACTTCTTCTTCTTCTTCTTCTTCTTCTTCTTCTTCTTCTTCTGCTTCTATTAGCCGTGTCCCTTCAGGACGTGGGCGTTCATAGTCCCCCCCCACACACTTCCTATCGTGTGTCGCTCTAAACAATGTTTGTCCCCTTACTATCCATCCTGATCTTTGCCCTGCAATCCATTAACACAAGCTCGTTAGGTAGGTTACTCGATCTTACTGTCTGCTTCTCTTGCCTTCATTATGTCCTGTGAGTGTTAGATTCTCCAAGCATTATTTCCTCATTATGCATCCCAGAAATTTCAACTGTCTATTTCTTATTCTAAGTATAAGTGTCCTTTTTGTTTCCATTGTCTTTAAAAACTTCGTCGTCGCTCACATTTTCATAATATTCTCTGGATTCTTTTGTACAACCATATCTCTACTGATTCAAGTCTTCTTTTCATTAGTGAGGATATTGTCCAGCGTTCATTGTCATATAGAAGGACTTGTATTACATAGTAGTTCTGCAATCTTCCCCACTGTTAATAAAATGTTAACTTTTGGAATGTGTCTTTCGCTATTCTATATTTCAAATTTCACTGTCCCATTTTCCCAACCTTATGGCCACACCACGTTGAAACACCGGTTCACGCACGATCGCCGAATTTAAGCAAAGTCGAGCCTGGTCAATACCTAGATGGCTGAGCTTTTGGGAATACCAGGTGCTTTAAGCTTGGATTTGCAGTTGGTGTAATGGATAACAGCTCGGAATTGTTAATCAGATGGCCTAGTTCTAATTCCAGTTGAGTTTGTTATATTCACTTACGCAAAAATACACTTGGGAATGGCATGAATACGCCTCTTTCCCCAGCTATGGGTTAATTAGTAAGACATATCACTAAATCATTATTATCTAAAAAAAATAGGTTCTGACAATCTAAAAATATTTTCTGGCTTTAAATAACCTGGTTGTTAAGTCGTAGAAGACGAATCAATCAACAATACGTTCCAGATATATTTCTGAACATTCTTGACACTGACGTCTCCAATTCGTAGATCACTTCTTAAGCTAACGCCCATAAATTCTATCTTCTTACAATTGATGGTTAGTCCTTTCTTTACGCTTTCTTTATCTATAAGTTCCTGCAGTTTTCTTTCTTTCTTTGTCATCAACACAGTATTAACTTGTATTGCGATCGTTCTGTTCCAAACTTTGTGATCGTAGCCTAATTATTATTCGCTTGGTGCGACACATGGCCTGAAGTAGAGAGCTCTCGTTGAGGACTGAATTCACTACAATAGCAATAGTTTGTAACACTAAAATCTTAACCAATACGATCCGAAAGAAACATTCCATCGTAATTATTATTGTAATCATTCTAATTTGTTCAAGTCAGGTTGCTGGTAGCAAGCTGTAATCTAGGAGTCTTTTTATTTATTTATTTTTTTTGTTACTGCCATATCCCTTGAGATAATGGCTATCCACACCCCTTTTCCTTTCTTTAATATATGTAAATTATGCTTTGCCATAATTGTTCTTGTTGTATTCTACACGGTTTTGAATTCAATATTGTCTTTTTATTAGACTGATTATTAGTCAAGCCCAGACTTCTCTACTGTTTAACCCATAACTGTAGTGGGATGGAGAGATGGATTCATGCCTTTCCCATAGGGATTACTGGGAGGGGAACATACAATGTCTCTACACAAATTGTTCGTCTCGACTCGCCGATTCCATTTTTCACTTTTTTTTTTTTAAATTTTGGTAACCTTTTGTTTTGGTTCTATGTGTCCGATAGCCTCTTGTTCGTTCGTTCGTTATTTCTTTCTTTGGACTATGAGTCCCAGTCTTATTGAAAATACACGGAAATATCGAAGGACCAGTAATATTAAAATGTGAGATGGAATCAGCACTGGTCAAATTAAACAGAAACAGCTAAGCCAGACGGAATTGTAATAAAAATGATGACAGTCTTGGATGACAAGATTATAGAGATAATAAATGAAATCTACAATGAACAAGAGAGTTGAAATGTGGTCTCACAAAAGGATGCTGAGAATACCATGATGATGTGAGCTACAACAATTTTAGAGAGAATGGAAAAGAAAAGCACACTTATATTTAACATCTGAAAGAAACAGTTGAAATTTCTAGGGCGCGTAGTGAGGAAAGAAGGCTTAGAAAATTTGGTACTCACAGGACACATTGAAGGCAAGAGGTATAGAGGAAAACAACGTATAAACTACCTAGCGAGCTTGAGTAAATGGATGGCAGTAAAGCCACTAAGACGCAGGGGGTTACTAAGTATGTAAGTATTAGAAAATAGAAACATTATTAAGGAGCAAGAACAACAGAAGTGTAAGCAGTAGATAGCGGTCGACATCGCATTTAAATTTTGAAGATCAAAATTATTTGGAAAGCATGGAACAGGAAGAATGTCCCACAAGCGAGACATGCGAGAAAAGAAACTGTCTGCATTGAACTTACGATTCCATCTAGCCAATTCAACTGTAAATTGATGAGACCTTGTCAATCCAGTACTGCTTTTAAATTCATAAAGTCTAGGTACCATAGCGAAGACTTTATCAGAACAATTACCATGAAAATATTTATAGAAAGACACAGTAAAGCAACTTTATGGTGGTGTGAAAGCGACTGAAGTTGAGATGCTAGGTCAGGACCAATAATATTGCTGATTCTTCTTTGGATTTTATCACTGAAATTTCAAAAAACTATTTGCAATTTATTTTAATTGGTCCGTTTACATTTTTAATTTTGCATTCCTGTTGTGCAAGAAGTCTATTTAGAATTTAATATCTTCTTCTAGATCCCGTGTCACTACAGGATGTGGACGATCATAGCTCTCCACAATTTCCTATGGTCTATAGCAGTTAGCAAACTTTTGTCATTTTATTATTCCTCCCTTCCCCTACTCTGCCATTCATTTACACAATGTCGTTGCGTATAGGTTTGTCTATGGTTCAGTTCACATTCCTCTTAATATTAAACACGTTCAAGATGTTTACCTTGCGACCGATATTTGCGTATCTTCCACAGGCACCAGTGGTATGTGTTCGTGTCTAGATAAATGTCAAGATTTCGAATGCTGATTTTCACGGCATTTCTCATTTGAGGGATTGGTGTAGAACAATCTTCCTACTGTTATTTTTCCTCGTTTGGCATCTTGCTTGGCTTAGTATATATGAAGTCTAGGATACAGGGTGAAAAACATTATATAAAAAAAGGACACGTTCAAATGAGTAAGTGAGGATCCTGTTGAACGGATGAGCGATGTTAAATGAAAATTAACGATTTCAAATATTTGTGTAAAAGGAGTGATTAATTCATTTGTTTTTGTTAAGGCTTATCAGCTATTTGCAGGTTATTTAAAGCCAGAAAACGTTTTAGAATGTAAGAATTTATTGGAGATAATAATTATTAACTGATACAATTCCTATTAATTAATCCATAGCTGAGAAGAGAAGAGGTGGATTTATATCGCTTCCAAGGGTATTTGCGCGTAAGTAAATATAACGAACCCGACTGGAATTGGAACACGGCTCTCCGATTTCCAATTCCCGGCCGTTATCCATTACGCCTGACGTACATTCAAGCTTAGAGCATTTGGTATTCCCAAGTAGTCACCACTTAAATACTGACCAATTTTGGCGTTGCTTAACTTCGGGGATCGAACAAGAATCGGTAGTTCAGCGTGTTATGGCGGTAAGCCGTGAGATGGAACTAGAAATATTCATTTGATAGGAATGAAAAGCAATAATAATAATAATTAGATGATGAAATAAATGCAAAAAGGAGTAAAAAACAAAATTGATAAGAAAAAAAAATAACTCGGGTGCTTCACAGAGAAGTAATAGTTAAGTAAATCTTTATCGCCGATGGTTATTATTGAGTTGTAAATTCGGTCCTCACTAGGTGACACACAGTTGGGACGTTCTGAGAAACGAAAGTAAGATTAGATAATAACTACGAATGAAAGAGAAAAATGAACGAAAAATTACAATGAGAGAAAGAGAGGAGGCGAGGAAAGAGATAAAGTAGAAAAGAAATATAAGAGTTCAGAAACGAAAAATCAAGATGAAAGATTAACTAACGACTTAAGCTTGTAAAAATACTTAGATGAATTAACAAAACACACACGCACGCTGAGAGAAGGAGAATGATAAGGACATATAACTCGACGTAAAGTGAACGGAGAAGAGAGGGAGAAGCTAATGTGAACGCCGAGCGTCTGAACTGGAGTCGAAAAGAGTGAACGCGCATGGGCGGCTGCCCGGGCGGTCGGCCAATGGAAGCCGTTTGAGTGTCTAACTAATAAATGCTCGCGTTATTACAAGCAGAATTAGCTTCGAAAATGGAGAGCGCGCAATAGGAAAGAGAGACAGCTAGCGGAATATTGTGTGACTCACTTGGTGGGGTACACACCTGTCAAGGAGCTGCCGACATCGTTGGATACAACTCGCCATCGCCCCAGTATATATTGGCTAAAAAGCGCCCTTGCCGGGCTTCGTGTGTGTGGCTCACGTCGGAAGTTGTAAACACTTGGCAGCCTCATGCATCGCCGCCGATCTCCCCACAATTGGGCTGATAGATTTATTGCAGTGAAGACCCACACGACCGACAACACTGCTTCAAAGCATAAACCCTGCTTGTCAATGCGATCTGCACTGCCATCGTATTGTTGTTGGTTTCATTGTTATTGTCATTGCTGTTTGATTGTTCTTTTCCTTCTTGTTTTCTTATTTTAAGCTGTAGTCTGGCGATGTTCATTGGACAGCCTCTTTGCTCTTTTATTTCAATAATCTTTTTATAAACTTTTCTTTCCTTGAACCCCGTTCCTCCATATTCTTTTTCTTTTCCCGCCAGTTCTTTTCTCATCTTTTTTCTTTTAACTATCTTTTCCATCTATTTCATCTTTTGCTTATTATTATTATTATTATTATTATTATTATTGTCGTTTTTCCTTCCCATCTAATACATATTTCTCGTTCCTTCTTTTCTTTTGCCCAAACTTTTGCAATAACTAATTTTCGTTTATTATCGCTTATTCGTTTCAACAGCATCCTCACTTAATCACTTGAACGTGTCCACATGGTTATTAAGCTAAGCAAGAAGCCAACCGAGGAATAAAATAACAGTGGTAAGCTTGTGACGTGCCAGCCTCCCAAATAGGAAGTAGGCCTGCCATGAAAATCAGCATACGAAATCTTTTATCTAGACTCGAACTCCGATCACAGGTGACTGTGGAAAATACACAACTATATCAGCTGCAAAACAAACCTCTTTAAACCACTGTTTAAGATATTTTTTTAATCATTTCATCCCAAGCAAGGCGATAATGCCACTAAGAAGAATGTGAACCGGACGATAGACAAACCTATCTACTCCTATTGAGAAAAAAAAAATAGGGATAAATAAAATTTCAGAGTTTTAGACGGAGACATTAGAAGTAGTTGAATTAGACTTTAGAAGGAAGCGGCGTCTCAGTGCTAAACAGGAAACAAGTGATAAACTTCTGCACCTGTTCAAAAGACTTGTTATTGTTTAGCACAGTAATACAAAGTCAAAGGATGAGAATATCTATAGAAAGACTGTGTTGTACCACTCTTTCAAATAGGAAACACTTACTTGTGAAAAGTAGCATTTGAAATCCTGGCTATTATCTGAGATTGAATACTGACCATTACCGTCTGTGAGGAAAAAAAAAG